GGATCGATAGCAGCTCGTGGATCCGTAACCACTTCCATGGATCGATAACAGCATGAGGATCCATAACCAGTTCCATAGATCGATAACAGCCTGTGGATCGATAACAAGTTCCGTGGATTGATAATGAATTCCATGGATCGATAACAGCCCATGGATCAATAACAGCTCATGGATCCATAACCAGTTCTATGGACTGATAACAGCTCATGGATTGATAACGAGTTCCATGGATTGATAACTGGTTCCATGGATCCATAACAGTTCATGGATTAATAACCAGTTCCGTGGACTGATAACAGCTCATGGATCGATGACCGGTTCCATGGATCAATAACAGCTCATCGATCCAACCTTTCATGTGTCTCTGTTCCTTAAGGGGGCGTGGCCTTGCGGGGAGGGGCGGGGCCAGGGCTGGAGTCACTCCGGGAGTGAAGCGGGAGGGGAGGCGGAAGCGGGCAGGGAGGGAAAGGGTCAGGGTCGGAATCGCACCGGGAGGGTCGGGGGCAGGCCTGGAAAGGCTCCGGGAGCGGCGGGACCGGGGCTGGAGTCACCGGGAGGGGCGGGGCCTGGGCAGGCCGGGAAGGGGCGGGGCTTGGGCCCAGAGGGGCGGGGTTTGCTCTCTGGGGGCGGGCTTTGCGCCCGATCCCCGTGCGGTGCCGCCGGGCGTGACGCGCGTGCGCACGCGCAGTGCGCGCTGCCAAGATGTCGGGCCCGGGGCTGGTGGCCGGGGATGTCGTGGTGGATGCGCTGCCCTACTTCGACCAGGGCTACGAGGCGCCGGGCGTGCGGGAGGCGGTGCGTGCGGGGCCGGGGCGGCGGCGGGGAGGGGCCGGGGCGGCGGGCGGGCTGCCTGCCTGCCTGACGGCCCGTGTGCGTTAGGCCGCGGCGCTGGTGGAGGAGGAGACGCGGCGGTACCGGCCCACCAAGAACTACCTGAGCTACCTGCCCGCGCACGACTACAGCGCCTTCGAGGTGAGCTGAGGCGGCCTGGCAGCTCCCAGAGCCCGGCCCCGCACCCCCACCGGGCTCCCGCGCCCCACAGCCCGCTTGTCCCCACCCGTAACCCGGCTGGGACAGACCCTCCCTGTCCCCGGCCTTCCCCCGAACCCTCCCGGTGCCCGCCGCCGGACCCTCCCCACCCCGCTGGCCCTCCCCCGTTACCCGTTTGTGTCCTGTCCCCACCATACCCCGTTTGTGTGGCCCCCCGTCCCCGCCTGTCCCTCACGGCTGCCTTTCCCGCAGACCGAGATCATGCGGAACGAGTTCGAGCGCCTGGCGGCCCGGCAGCCCCTGGAGCTGCTCAGTATGAAGAGGTGAGTGGGGCTGGCAGGGCCGTGCCCGGTGCCCCGGGTGAGCCGTGCCTTGGCTGAGCCGTGCCCGGTGCCCTGGCTGAGCCGTGCCCCCCGGTGCCCCGGGTGAGCCGTGCCCGGTGCCCCGGCTGAGCCGTGCCCCGGCTGAGCCGTGCCCCGGGTGAGCCGTGCCTCGGGTGAGCCCTGCCCTTTGCAGGTACGAGCTGCCCGCCCCCTCCTCCGGGCAGAAGAACGACATCACGGCGTGGCAGGAGTGTGTGAACAATTCCATGGCGCAGCTGGAGCACCAGGCTGTGCGCATCGAGAACCTGGAGCTCATGTCCCAGCACGGCTGCAACGCCTGGAAGGTGTACAACGAGTAAGGCCTCGGCTGCTCTGCTGGGCACCAAGTTCTGTGCTGAGTTTCTGCGTGTTTATTGGGTGTAAATCCAGGGGGAATCTTTAGAATGTAGCCTGGAATAGATGAATCCCTGTGAGTGAAAGAGGAGTGATCTCAAAGCTGTCTCTGTGGCCAAGGAACAGCTTGTATTTTGATACATCCCAATCTTGAATGTTGTGGGTTACTGTTGGTGCTCGTGGGTGTTAATTAAGGCTGGTGATAGCCTGTGAAGGGATAACTCAGTAGTGGAAATGAAGATGAGTTACTACAGTTCTTGGGTTTAGCCTGGAGCTGTAATAAAGCTGCTGCAAAAGCCAAGAAAAGGTTGTAGGGTATGGCTGCAGGAAGCACTGGGGCTAATTCAGATAATGTTAATGTCCGCTTTTGAGGAGGGTTGGCTGAGCCTTAGATAAAAGAGTAGGCCAAAGGAGTTCCAAACTGAGAGAAGGCAGAAGGTTCCTGAGCTCAGGAGAAGGGAAGCAGGTCAAGGATGTGCTGGCTGGGCCAAGGTGCTGCAGGGCCTTGTTGGATCCTTAATTCTGACAAATTAAATGTCAGGTGAAATGGGGCTAGTTTACCCTTTGTGTGTTTTTAATGCTTTGCTTGCATTCTGTCATCAGGCACCTGGTTCATATGATAGAACAAGCCCAGAAAGAGCTTCAGAAATTGAGGTGGGTCATTCTTATTTATGTTTTTGTACTGAAATTGGAAGGGAACCTTTCTCTCCCCGCTGGCTATACAGAGGAAGATGTATGTGCTGGCTGCTGCCATGGTCACGGGGAAAAAGACCCAGTAAAAACAATAATAAAGAAATGTGACCCTGCCCTCCCCAGGCAGTTACATTCATCATGTTTGTTCTACTCAAAGTTCTGTGTTTGATTTGTTTAAACCTCTGCTCTGGATTTGTGGAATCCTCCCTGAAATGTAGCAATGCTTTCATTTCACTACTGATCAGTTGTCTCTCTAAGGACATCTTCCCTGATGTTCGGTTTGGCCTTTTATTTTTATTTATCTCAGGGTTCTCTGTGAGCCCTGTACTGAGATTTATCCATCTGGATATTGTCATTACAGTCCTGGCTGCACAAATGTTTTCTGGCAGTACTTCCAGGAATTGAGTGTACTTGGAAATTAGCAACAGGTGCTGCAGATGCCAATGAAATGAGGAAATAAAAATACATCTTTTTCTCCCCAGGAAAAACATTCAGGACCTGAACTGGCAGAGGAAGAACATGCAGCTCACAGCTGGGGCTAAGCTGAGAGAGATGGAATCCACGTGAGTATTGACATTTCTCTGTTAACCCTTCCACAGTTTCTCCATTGCTTGAAATCCACTTGAAATTCTTCTCCCACTTGACATTCAGTGATCCTTTGGTGCTGCTGTAGGGTACTGCTGTTTTGCAGGAGGTGTTTTAAAGTATTTGTAGTTTGGTTCCATATTGTATTTGCTGAGCTTGAGTGAATCAACAGGTGGGAAGAGGATGTATTTATTAGCTGCTTCAAATTTCCTAAATTATCTTAACTCTTCTTTATCTCAATATTGGCAGTTGGTGGATGAGTTTAGTCATTAAATTTTGTATGTCTTCAGATTTAACAGAGTTAAAAATTACTCATTGTCACTTTGGTTGTTCCAATGGCCATTTATGTCAACTAAGGATTATTGTGTTAAGAAAAATGCTGCTTTATTTAGTGTTTCTGCTTGCTTTGGAGCAATGGTTATCTTTGATTTTTAACCAGAGGACTGTTACATAACACCTAAAGGCTCTTTTTATTTCTTTTCCCTTCCAGGTGGGTCTCTCTTGTCAGTAAAAATTACGAGATTGAACGAACCATTGTGCAGCTGGAAAATGAAATTTCACAAATCAAGCAGCAGCATGGGGAAGCAAACAAGGAGAATATCCAGCAAGACTTTCAGTGAATTAATCCTGACTTGTCTTAGTGCTGCATGTGCTAAAAACTACAAACCAGACACTTTGGAGATGCTGTGTCTGTAGACACCTCTAGTTGCAGTTGTGTGAGGTGGTAAAAGGGTGTTTCCATCCTTTCTTTTCCTTGTTTTAAATTCTAGGAGGAGGTAGGGTGGACTCTAAACACTCTGTTAAATGTATCACAGGCACCATTAAATGTACTGTGAATTGTTTCACTTTTTACATATTTAAAGCAGGAGCTCACGTTGTTGTGTTTTCCCCTATGCCTTTAATAAATCCTGTTTTGCTATTTCTCTGGTTTCTGCTTCATGTCCAAAGCTTGGGAGTTCTGGAGGAGATGTCTGGGCCAGGTGACCCTGAGAATCCCCTGCAGGGGAAGTGGGGGGAATTGGAATTTGTCTCTCTGCAGCACTGGGGCCGTGCAGTGCCCACGGAGACTCTGGTGCCACTGTCACTGCAGCAGGCCCCAGCCAGGTCATAATTAGCATTGAATCCATGATTCACAAGGCTGATCAATCTCTTTATTAAATTATATTATTATTAATAAACCATTGCTTTTATTAGACAGATAATATACAAATGTAATATACAAATATTGTATATTTATGATTCAGGTTGACCTAATTGGTCCTCCTGTCCAAACACCATCCTGATTGGCTAATTAAGAAACCACCCTTTGGTAAACAAACCTGGCATGTTCACAATACCAGGTGCAGCAAGTGAAGATGAGAATTGCTGCTCATTCTTTTCTCTGATCTCCTCACAGCCTTCCCCAGCGAGGCCTGGGAAAGCTGTGTGTTTCTCTCTGTGGCCAGAGCGCTGCTGCCCCGTGCCACCCCCTGCCCTGTTCCTCATCCCAGGGCACAACTCCTGCTCTTCCTGCTCCCGCTGCCCTGTCCCCATGCTCTGACTCCCATCCCGATGCACTGCTCCCTGTCCCAGTGCCCTTTTCCCTGTGCTGGTCCCCATCCTGCTGCTCTCTTCACCATCCCAGTGGGATATTCTCAATCCAGCTCTGCTGTTTCCTGTCTTGGTGCCCTGTTCCCCATCCCGGTCCATCATCCTCCATCCCAGTGCCCTATACCCCTTCCCCATGGGTGTTCCCCATCCCAGTGCTTTGTTCCCTATCCCAATGGGTTATTCCCTATCCCAGTGCCCCATTCCCCCACCCCGGTGCATTATTCTCGGTTCCCATGGGTTATTCCCCTTCCCGGGGTGTTATTCCCCAGCCCAGTGGGTTATTTCCCATCCCAATGAGTTATTCCCTATCCCAGTGCCCCATTCCCCCAGCTCAGTGCATTATTCCCGGTTCCCATGGGTTATTCCCCTTCCCGGGGTGTTATTCCCCAGCCCAGTGGGTTATTTCCCATCCCAATGGGATTCCCCATGGATATTCCCGGTCCCGGTGGGTTATTCCCCAGCCCGCTGGGTATTCCCCCTCGTCACGCGTTATTCCCCGTCCCGGTGGGTTATTCCCCTCCCCCGTGGGTTATTTCCCAGCCCGTGTGTGTCATTTCCCGTCCAGAACGGTTATTCCCCAGCCCGGTGCGGTATTCCCCCTCCCGGTGGGGTATTCCCCAGCGCAGTGCGTTATTCCCCCTCCCGGTGCGCTGTTCCCCGTGCGTTATTCCCCCTCCCGGTGCGTTATTCCCCAGCCCGGTGCGGTATTCCCCCTCCTGATCGGGTATTCCCCAGCCCAGTGCGTTATTCCCAGCCCGGTGCGCTATTCCCGGTACGTCATTCCCTATTCCCGGTTCCCCGTTCCCTATTCCCGGTGCTCCGTTCCCGTGGGCGTTCCCGAGGGGCGTGGCTACGCCCCTCCCGCCACCACCGCCCAATAGGCTCCCACCCCTGGACCCAAAGCCCCGCCTCCAGGGGCCCGGTGCGGCGGCGGGGCCCGGCCCCAGCCCGGTGCCGCCGCTGACGCCCGCGGCGCCGGGGCCGTTCTCGCTGCTGGACACGTGCGCGGTGTGCGCGCAGAGCCTGCAGAGCCGGCGGGAGGCCGAGCCCAAGCTGCTGCCCTGCCTGCACTCCTTCTGCCGCCGCTGCCTGCCCGAGCCCGAGCGCCAGCTCACCGTGCCCGTGCCCGGCGGCGCCAACGGCGACGTGCAGCAAGGTGAGCTGAGCGCGGGGCTGCTCCGGGACATCCCGCCGCCCGGCCGGCCGGCCCGGGCCGTGCGGGGATCGGGAGCTGCGGGTCCGGAGCGCGGCCGGGCATTCCCGGGAAGGACGGACCTGTTGGAGCGGGCAGAGTTGGAGGGGTGGAGCGGCTCTGCTCCGAGGGAAGGCTGCGGGGATTGGGATGATCAGCCTGGAGAAGCTCCCGGGGACCCTAAAGTCCCTCCCGGTGCCTAAAAAGAGTATCTAGTAAAAATAAGGACAGAGTTCTTAGCGGCACCTGTTGCGCTAGGACTGGGGATAATGGTTCTAAACTGGAGCAGGATCGGTTTCGGTTAAGTGTAAGAAATGTTTACCATGAGGGTGTTAAAACATCGGAACAAATTGCTCAGGGAGGTGGTGGAAACATTCAGTGACAGGCTGGACCAGGCTCCGAGCAACCTGCTGGAACCTGGGGTGTCCCCGCTCCTGACAGGGCGTTGGACAGTGACCTTTAAAGGCCCTTTCCAACCCCAAATCCTCTGTCATTCTCACCTCCTGGCTGTTTCGGCGGTGACACAGCGGGGGTGGGCAGCTGCTGGCTTCTGCAGTGCTGGCTGAAACGTGTCTGGTTAAATTGAGATTCACTCTTGTTGCAGCATTACCTGCCCAGGTGGGAACGCTGTGTGCACCATCCCTGCTTTGCTGTGCACTGAGATAAAACCTTGCAGTGCTGTTTGTCAGCTCTGCCTCTACAGAACTTGTACCAGGGAACAGGAATGCACTGCTCTTTCCACCTGCTCTTAGCAGAGCCGCAGCTTGGGTTTGATTTTTCTTTTCTAATGTACATTCAGGGATGGAATTGAAAAGGTTCAAGAGCTTTAGATGGGGTGACTCACGGGCTGTGGTGTACAGAGCAAAGTAGGGCCCTGGTAAGTGGTTTTGCAGGTCCTAAATGGGCTCTATGGTCAGGGAGACCTTGTTTGGTGACATCTTTGCACTCAAGCCCTTCCTGTGTTCTCCAGTGAAGGAGTTAATTTGGAATGGTAGGGATTTTTTCATCCAGACTGTTCAGAAGTCCATCTAGGATGTGATCTTAGAAAGTTCATTGGTGTTAAAAAGATGATGTATTAAATACAGTTTGGCAGTACACTCAGTAAAGCACTCAGATGGTTTTGTGATCCATGTTTTTAAATTCCAGATTCTACATTTTGTGTTATATCATAGAGTGACAGAGGGATTTGGTTTGGAGGGGACTTCAAAGCCCATCCAGTCCCACGGTGCTCCGTTCCCTATTCCCGGTGCTCCGTTCCCGCGGGCGTTCCCGAGGGGCGTGGCCACGCCCCTCCCGCCACCACCGCCCAATAGGCTCCCACCCCTGGACCCAAAGCCCCGCCTCCACGTGACGTCACGCCCCGCGCTCCCGGCCGCGCCGTTGCCGCGGGAGCGCGCGCGCGTGCGCGGCGCCGGTCCCGCCCGGTCCCGCCCGGTGACGCGGTGACGCGGAGCGTGCGCGGAGCGGGGTCGGGTTCAAAGGAGGAAACATGGCGGAAAACAAAGGAGGCGGCGGCGGCGGGGACGCGGCCGCCGAGGCCGCGCCGGGCGGCGGCGGCGCTCTGGAGCCTCCCGCCGTGAGATTCACTCTTGTTGCAGCATTACCTGCCCAGGTGGGAACGCTGTGTGCACCATCCCTGCTTTGCTGTGCACTGAGATAAAACCTTGCAGTGCTGTTTGTCAGCTCTGCCTCTACAGAACTTGTACCAGGGAACAGGAATGCACTGCTCTTTCCACCTGCTCTTAGCAGAGCCGCAGCTTGGGTTTGATTTTTCTTTTCTAATGTACATTCAGGGATGGAATTGAAAAGGTTCAAGAGCTTTAGATGGGGTGACTCACGGGCTGTGGTGTACAGAGCAAAGTAGGGCCCTGGTAAGTGGTTTTGCAGGTCCTAAATGGGCTCTATGGTCAGGGAGACCTTGTTTGGTGACATCTTTGCACTCAAGCCCTTCCTGTGTTCTCCAGTGAAGGAGTTAATTTGGAATGGTAGGGATTTTTTCATCCAGACTGTTCAGAAGTCCATCTAGGATGTGATCTTAGAAAGTTCATTGGTGTTAAAAAGATGATGTATTAAATACAGTTTGGCAGTACACTCAGTAAAGCACTCAGATGGTTTTGTGATCCATGTTTTTAAATTCCAGATTCTACATTTTGTGTTATATCATAGAGTGACAGAGGGATTTGGTTTGGAGGGGACTTCAAAGCCCATCCAGTCCCACGTCTGCCCTGGGCAGGGACACCTTCCACTATCCCAGGTTGCTCCAAACCCCATCCAGCCTGGCCTTGGACACTGCCAGGGATCTGGGCACCTCTGCCACGGCCTGCCCACCCTCCCAGGGCAGTGATATGCCAGTGACATCCACAGAACTTGGGAAGCAGGGTTTCTTTTATTAGCAATTAGCAGGATTATCTGAGTCCTGCTGTGTCTGTGGGAGCTGTCTTCCCCACAGGTGTGGGAACCACTGTGTACAAACTGGAATATCACTTCTTGTACACATTTTAAGAGTGCTTGTTGGTGTGCTTTGGTGTAGAAGGAGTTTGTGTTTGGACTGTTGAAATAAAAAGTTTTTGGTGATGTGAGCAAGGTGCAGGAGCATCTTTCATGTGAGGAGAGACCTCAGGGCTGAGCTTGGTTGGTCTGGAGAAGGGAAGACTGAGAGGGGATCCCATCAATCCACAGGAATATTTCCAGGCTGGGTCAGAGGATGGTGTCAGGCTCTCTCCAGTGGTGCCCAGGGCTGGCCAAGGAGCAATGGCCATCAATTATAACACAAGGAGTTCCACCTGAATGAGAAAGAAATTCTTTCCGTGGAGGGTGGCAGAGCCTGGAGCAGCTGCCCAGGGAAGGGGTGGAGTCTCCCTCTCTGGACACGTTCCAAACCCACCTGGACACATTCCTGTGTCACCTGCTCCAGGTGACTGGGTGGTTGCAGAGGTGCCTTCCAACAGGGCTGCTGTTGTGGGATTGTGGGAGTGTCCTGTAGGGCCGTGGATCCAGCTGTGGATCCAGCTGTGGTGCCACCTCAGCCTGCACAAACACAGGAACTGGCAGCTGTATCCTGATGTCTCTTTTTGTTCCCTGGGCATTTAGGTTTAATCCCTGTTTCCTTAGGAAAGCAGGAAATGCTGTCTTGGGCCAAAATTTGGCTGGAGTCAAGTATTTCCAATTTCTAGAGGGAATCTCCTTAAGGAGTTAAAAGGATAAATTTGTTTCTTTTATATTTGGTACTTTTCCAGTTGGGATTAAAAATACACCCTGAAATATGGTAGGATTGGCTCATCCTCAGCTGAGGATGGGCCATGGACCAGCAGAAGCATTTTTGTGGGCAGCTCTCTGCACCTTGAGGGTGGAATCAGTTGAGTGGCACAGGAGATGGCTACCAGTAAGTGAGATAGAAAATGGACATTCTGAGCCTCCTGAGAGGCACCCCAGTGCTTAGTCACACAGGTTCCTTCCCTGTTCTGGCAGTCACAAAGTGTGAAGTGTTACTTCCACTTCTGCTGATTCTCAAGTCTCCTTCATGACGAGCAGGTGCTTTTTGATGCAGGAACAATTAGAGAGAAGTGGTACCTGTAGCTGTCCCTGAGGCAGGTTACGATTGTGTCCCTGCTCTCTTTCAGCATCTCTTCACATAAACCAGAAAAGTGCAAGTGAGATTTTCCTCGTTGCTTTCTTAATTAGTTTGAGAGTTTGCTCAGTGAGAGCTGTCAGGACTTAAAGCAGTAGATATGTGTATTTATTGGGTAAAAACCGTGGAAATGGAGTGTGAGGTTGGTGCCCCAGAGCAGTTCTCTGAGTGACTGAACCTCCTCTGCCCTCCTGGAGAGAGTGGTGTTGGGTCTGGATCAGAATCTGCTCCTGCCAGGCTCCCACTCCCTTCAGAGCCAGCAGAAGAATCATCTCAGTTCCTAAAACTTAGAGAACCTCTGGCTAAAGCTTAAAAGAATTATCTGAAGTTGTGGTTTGTTGTATTAAAAACAAGTTGTTGGTGGGTCATACCAACAACTTGTTTTGCTGGTAAAAAAGGTATATTTTGCTGTTGATTACATTTATGTAGGGAAAAAATAGAAGATTCTTTATATATTTAAAATATATGCATTTGTTTAACATGGAAAGCAGCATCTCATATTCAGTTGAATTTCTTAATTGGTTATGGGAATGTGCATTTTATTTGGTGGATAGATGATTTTGTAGTGGTGTTTCAGCTGTCCAACTGGACTCCTCCTCTCAGGTTGAACAGGTTACAAGGAAGTGCCTGCATTTGTATCTCAGTATTCTGAAAAAAAACCTGATTTCTAAGTTAGAGATTTCAGACTGTAGCAGATACTGTAAAACAACTTTTCCCGCACCCAGTGCTGCTCCTGGAGGTGAGGTTGTTGTGTGGTTTCACTGCCTGGGTGAGATATTCACAATCTCTCTAAAGGAGATTAGCTCAGTAGAGAGAGCGTGGGGCTCTCCCAGCTCCTTGGGAATGTCACAATTAAAACTAGGCTGAAAAACCAAATGAGCTGAAAAACCTCCACAGTTGGTTGTGTGTGTAAACTGAGGAACAACACATTTACCACCCAGAGCTGTGATATCTGGTTTGATATGCTGAATTCAGCTCCTGAACTCAGCTCCTGTACAGTGTTGCTGTGTTGTATTAATCACACATGAAGTTTTTGCTTTTTTAATTTGCTGTGAAAGGAGGACAAAAAAGTCTGATGTGTATGGGGATGTGACGTGTCCCTTACACTGAGTTTGATGGTAGTTACTGTATTTTCAGTCTAAAAGAATGAAAATTCCTACATCAAATAAGACTATAAGCTGTGTAAATGCAGCATCTTAAGTTTTATTAAACTGGATGTGAGTAGACTCCTTGGGAATGTCACAATTAAAACTAGGCTGAAAAACCAAATGAGCTGAAAAACCTCCACAGTTGGTTGTGTGTGTAAACTGAGGAACAACACAGTTACTACCCAGAG